TTGTATTAAAAATTAACAGACTTTTAGCTAGCGTGAAACCAGGACATACAAGTTAATTATCAACTCCCTTTTATTGAAACGATATTAAGTAATGGTCCACGTAAGAACCTGGAAGGCCAAACACAAAAAAATCGATTTTCAAAATATTCGGTAACAAAAAACGTGACATATACCAACGCTACACACTTGTAACAACGAATTCAATCACGAAAGGTTTTTTCTCCTTTGTGTAGGCGTTTTCCTTACATGCAAATGATTCTCCGTTTATAGATTTTTATAAGGGTTTCTTTTTTACTGCTTATGAACATGTTTCCTAACGTTTCTTCCAAAGCGTTTTTCTTACCGTTCTTCTACTGTTTACAACCGTTTGTCTACGTTTACAAGCGTTTTTCTGCTGTTTATAAGCGTCTTTCTACCGTTTACAAGCGTTTTTCTACCGTTTACAAGCGTTTTTCTTACCATTTATATTATAGTAGTATATTTATATATACCGTTTATTAAAGCTTTTGTACCGTTCATAAGCGCTTTTCATCTGTTTATTAACGTTTTTCTACCGTTTGCAAGCGTTTTTGTTACCGGTTATAAGCGTTCTTATACTGTTTACAAGCGTTTGTCTATTGTTTACAAACGTTTTCCTGCTGTTTATAGACGTTTTTGTACCGTTTACAAGCATTTTTCTATTGTTTATAAACGTTTTCCCGCCGTTTACAAGCGTTTTTCTTACTACTTGTAAGCGTTTTTCGACCATTTATTAGCGCTTTTGTACCGTTTATAAGCGCTTTTCAACTGTTTATAAGCGTTTTTCTACTGTTTATAAGCGTCTTTCTACTGTTTATAAGCGTTTTTCTACCGTTTGCAAGCGTTTTTCTTTACCATCCATAAGCGTTTTTCTACCGTTTACAAGCGTTTTTATACTGTTAATAAGCGTTTTTTTACCGTTTATTAGCGCTTTTCTACCGTTTATAAGCATTTTTCAACTGTTTATAAGCGTTTTTCTACTGTTTATAAGCGTTTTTCCACTGTTTATTAGCGTTTTTCTGTTTATACGTGTTTTTCCACCGTTTATTAGCGTTTTTCTACTGTTTATAAGCGTTTTTCTACCGTTTATTAGCGTTTTTCTACTGTTTATAAGCGTTTTTCTACCGTTTATTAGCGTTTTTCTGTTTATAAGCGTTTTTCCACCGTTTATTAGCGTTATTCTACTGTTCATACGCCGTTTTCTACCGTTTACAAGCGTTTTTCTACTGTTTACAAGCGTTTTTCTACCGTTTACAAGCGTTTTTCTACTTTTTATAAACGTTTTTCTACTGTTTATGAGCGTTTTTCTACCGTTTACAAGCGTCTCTCTACTGTTTATAAGCGTTTTTCCACCGTTTATTAGCGTTTAACTGTTTATAAGCGTTTTTCCACCGTTTATTAGCGTTTTTCTACTGTTTATAAGCGTTTTTCTACCGTTTACAAGCGTTTTTCTGTTTATAAGCGTTTTTCCACCGTTTATTAGCGTT